TTCCTCTCCCTCATTGCGTCATTCCCCTTGTCAAGTCCCCTTCCCGCCATTGTGCCCCTCCTCCGATTTCCCTCAAGAGCTCCGAGGCAAGCTCGGTCCCTGCCCTTCGGTTTGTCAGGGAAACAATGGCGTAGGGAGAATGTGGGGGCAACCGCCAAGGCGCTGGAATGCCGAGCAGGTGGGGAGAGGAGGAAGGAGGAGGCAGAGCATGAACACAAGAGTCTTGTCCCTCCCTCCTTGTCGTTCCTTCCACATCCTCTGCACTCACCCTCGTGCTAATGCATGGAGCTTGCTCGCAAGTACCTGATCCCGGTGACCCCTTCTCTCCTCTCCAGGAGCTTCGAGACATTCGGGATGCTGGCAACTTCAATGCAAACCTGCAGTCTGGATTATGTGAAGGCTCATTTGTAAATTGTCCATCAGTGACCAAGTTGCAGACGACCATGGCGCGCTCAAGCTACATCGCAAGCGCACTGATGCCAACCATGGAACAAGCTTCATAGAGTTTGCACAGGGAGATCAGGTATGGTAGCAAGCTGCTCCTGCATACTATTTGCTCTACTCGACATCTGTTCTTTTGATCGAAATTGTCTTTGACTGCTCTTCTTCATGCAGTACTTCGGTGGAGTCGTCGCAGGACTGAAGCATGGGAAGGGGACGTACGTTTGGGCGAACGGCTCAAAGTATGAAGGAGAATGGAGGAGGAATGTGCCTCATGGTCAAGGATACTACGAGTGGCCTGACGGCGAGAAGTTTGAGGGCTCATTCTCATATGGAAGGAGGAGCGGGGCAGGCATGTACAAATTTGCCAACGGGTCGAGTTTCGTTGGAACGTTCAAGGACGACAAGGCTGTGGGGAAAGGCATCTGTACCTTGGCAGGAGGGAGGAGCTTCCATGGCGACTACGCGCTGTTTGCTGCCTACTTGCAGTCAGCTGAGCTGCGAAGGCAGAGGGGGACGTCGGACCAATGGCCGCCAGTCAAGGTACGCGCTAGGTACATATGACGTTGCCTGGAGTCTGACACGGCTCTCAGTGGGGATCGAGTAGCGATCTCATGCGGAATCCGCCATGGACAGGATTCACAGCTGTCCGGAGCGGGGAGAGGCACAAGGCGTTCCAAGGAACGAGGCCGAAGCTCGAAGACCCTGTCCTCTCCCTCCGCTCGTTCGCGCTGAACTGGCCGGAGCCTCCCTTCTCCCATGTTGAGGCTCTGGACCTCGAGCTCTCGTCGAGGAGGAGGAGGAGAGGGAGGATGCCGACCAAGAAGTTTGCTGAGCGATGGCCGTTCACGTCGTCGGTCTCAGTGCTGGATGAGGGGGTGGTGGATGACTCGGGCCCTGAACACGCCGACCTGAGCTTCCTCAAGGCCGGAGAGTTCTGTGAGTGTCAGCTGCTGGAGCTGGAGCCCAGCTGGCTGGGGATGGCGGACAAGAGGGGGAAGATCGTGCTGAGTGAGAGCGGATGCTACATGCGAGTAAGGATAGAGCTGGTCGAGGTCGTGTGGCCCGGGTTCACTGAAACTCAGTTCCCGCTCGTTCTCTGCAAGGTGAAGCTGGTAGGTCTGAGCGATAAGGAGCCTCTGCAGTGGGTGCCGGGGAGCCGCCTCCGGCCGTGCATGGCCGGGAAGGATGCGAGCAACGGGCAATGGCAGGGATGGATAGTCAAGGATTCACCATGTGGGGAGTACAAGGACGGCGAGTTCTACGAGAAAGAAGGGCTTGTGAAGCAAGGGAGTCGAGTGGAGTGTCTGTTTCCTGTACAGGTGCTGGAGGAGGGGGCAGGGCTGGAGGATAGTGTCCTCTCCTTCCGGCCGTCCCTCGTTGCCTGCGCGGCTGAGAGCGCTGCGATGGGGCTGGTGAGGAGGGGGGATCCAACAGGGGACGGGCTGTGGGTAACTTATAGCAGGGATAGCTTGCTCCATGCTCCCTTGCTGCTGGCAAAGACGAGCATGTGGGAAGTCCTCGCAAGCCGCGTGCTCGGCAGTGTTGTCTTCCTGTCACTGGTGGTGAAGGAACTGGGGCCTGATGCACTTTGTGACATGCTGGATGAGTGCTATATGTGGATGCTGAATGAAAACACTCTCTCCTCGCAGGGGATCGTGCGGAGCGATGACGAGCAGCATCGCGATCTCCTGCAGGGCTCGTCCGCCAGGGTCTTGCAGCACCATCGGTTCTTCGCCCACTGGCACCGTGAGAAGCTCCGCAGGCATCCGCTGGCGAAAGTGGCGGAGGAGAGCAAGCTTGGGTCTCTGCAAGAGCTTCACGATCGCATGTTCGGAGTAGATGGAGTGCTGCAGCACGCAAAGCAAGTGCTGAGGAGATGCGCGCGAGACCGTGAGATGCCTGTTTCAGATCGACTCGTCCTCCTCCAGATGTCTCGGAATGTCAATCACATCAAGGGTCTGCGGTTCTTCGAGGACAAAGTGCAGATGGTAAACGAGCATCTGCTTGAGATCTCCAACGCTCTATCTCGCTTCGAGCTTGAGCCGAGACAGTCTCGATTGCTCAAGAGCGGCTTCCTCAATGTTGCTTGCAAGCCCCACGCGAACCCAGCTGAAGTTTGCTCGAAGATCGATTCTTACGCTCTCCTCGCTCGTCAAGAGCTGGAACATGATGCCCACGAAGCTATTGTACAGGTTGAGCTCACTGTCACTTTCCAGCAAGACTTGATCCCCGAGATTGCGTTTCGAATCATTCAGCTCCTCCGCGCACGAATCGACAAGGATGCTGTAAAACTGCGCCTGATACGAGCAGAGCCGTCGTTTTCCACTGATATCGACATGGTGTTTACAAGAACAATCTTGTATGTGTCAATCTACAACATCCAAGACCCCAAACTAGTCTGTGAAGACATCGCCAGAGACTTTCTGGGTGGAAGGAGTGAGTTTGCCAAGGTTTGCCGGGATCGGTTCCTTCTTGGATCGATCAAAGTGGTTCATCCGAGCATCTTTCTGCACCTGCTCTTCAAGAAACCGATCCTAGCACCAGCAAGAGACATTCTGCTCGAGATGCCGAGGGTTGAGAGCATCTGCAGACAAGATTTGTTGCGAGCTTATCCGTCAATGGCAGAGAGGGAGATCGAGGAGGTGGTGGCCAAGATTCGTCTGCTGAAGCTCCTCCGAGAGGATTTGTGCGATGCGATGGAGCTGTCAAGGGATGTCATTCGAGCGATCAACCTGCTGCCCTGTAAGTCTCGCGCGACATTCGAGGTCTTCTGTGAGAAGGAGAACTTTGAAGACTCGCACATTGCTGGACCAGTCAAGACGTTTTGTGCGTCTGTTCACAGCGGAGAGAGTAAGGTTAGAGAAGGGCAGGTACTCGCTGCCTTCGAGTACGTCGTCGATGTCAAAGTTGAGATCGGGTTCAAACCGGTCAGATCCTTCCCTCTATGGCAAGATGTGGATATGAATTGTGTCAGTAGTGGGGCTGATACACACAGTGAAAGGCTCAGTCTGTCTCAGTTTGTAGTCCCTGCCTTGACAAGCTTGTTGTGTAGCCGTCAAGTTTGCCTCAACTACCGTGACTCCCATCTCAACGGTTTTCGACAGACGTTTTCTGACTACGGAAATCCCCAGCTCTGGCGTGCTGATAGAGCGCTAGATGACGTGGATCGATATGAGGAATCGAGGATGCAGGTGGAAGTAGTTGTGTTGGGAGGTGACAGCTACGAGCTCGAGGGCAAGAGGAAGTTCAAACTCAAGGCTGAGAAAGACTGCGACTTCCGTGTCAGGTTTTGGAGGGGAGACGTTGCGGAGACAAACTCCATGACCCGACCGAGCGATCGGACGTACCCGGTCATGACGGGAGATGTTGCCTTGTTGGAGGGCGTTTACTCAGCCGCTGAGCTTCTGTCGCACGTGCAATCTCAGCTTTCTGCGATGAAATGGAAAGACGGAGACTTTGAGTTTGCTTCTCAGGTCAGTCAGAGCTGGATCCAATGGTCCTGCTCCGTTGACGATGACGGGAAAGTCAAGATTCTTGTCCTAACTGATAGATACCTGAGGTTTGAATTGCAATTCGTCAACATGCGTTTGATGGAGATTTTGGGGTTTGATACATCCTCCCACTCGATACAGAGCAGTGCTTGTACACGGCAATCGTTCCAAGACAAGCTGGTTGACAGTGATGTTGGTTATGTAGAGAATGTTTGGACGACATTCGTTGGAGGGCATTACACGATTCTGCATCCTCCAAATATGGTTGTGAGGGGGAATCATCTGAAAACAAACGGAAGGTACAGCTACAAAGACGTATTAGAGCTACCAGCAGATGTTTTCAAGTCGGTCTTCATTCCTCGTCGTTCCGAGACACAAGTCATATTCCTTCGCACAACGGAATTCTGCCTTGACAAGAACTTTCTTCACAGCTGTTCCAGAGGAGCAGTTCCTTTGTCAGCATCTTGCGTTCTTGGGCTCAACCGTGACGGCTCGGGTAGGCAGGTGTTTGACTCCCTCCTGTATGACCACCTTGCTTCTCAAGACGCGGCTGGCTCGTGTCACCTAGTGCAGTATGACTCGATGTTTGTTGAATCTGCCTTCGATGTCAGTGCTGGTCTTCAGTCTTTCAATCTCCTCTTCGCACGATTGAATGTTGTCTGGAATGAACTTCACGACTACAACGATCGGCTTGTTCGATTGATCGACGTCATAGAGCTCGGAGATCATGTCGAAGATGACCATGACGATCTTGATTGTTACAGTGCGCAGCAATGTTATCTCTGCTGGAAGCTGCTGCGAGATGAGTACGCTCAAAGAGAACAGAGCTGCATGCACGGCCTGGCGCTGAAGAATTGTTTGGACGAGACATGTAAAGGTCTTGTGAACGCATCTGAAAACAGTATGATGACAGCCATTGACTCTTCACTGCAAGAAAGAAGAGAAAGGTCATCTTTAGCTCATCACACATTTATCAACAGCATGTCAGCTGGAAGTTGTGTTGTTCTGGACAACTTTGCTTTTGCTGAGAAGGCTGTGAAAGAACTATACAGTCTGATCCGCGCCCATAGTGGCGGCAGTGATGATTTGTCCTTCGATGCCAGCTTCAAGTTTCTCAATCATTGCAAACCTTTTGTATCATACTCCTGCCAGCGGACAAGACAGTTTGAACTGCAATTGATGTTGTCTTCCTTGTACGCCTTGCAGGATGTCAGGGGGTCAAGAGACCGTACCATGTACGAGTTGACGAGGATGACGTTTGGGCCCAACTTCTCCCTTGCTCCTCTCATCTTCATCTGCGGAAAGGCTGGATCAGGAAAGAGTGTGCTGCTGGCGAGGTTGGTTTCAAACATGACAACAGAGTCCAAGGACGGTGGACTGTCTTGGAACAAATCAGAAAATACGATACATGTCTTCTACTTCCGGGAGGCGATGCAGCCGCTGAATCAAGTCCTTGTGTATTTGGCTGACGAGCTTGCTTTCTCTAACAGCGAGTCTTCATTCCCACAGCCGTCCAACGGGATTTCTTACGGGAACTTTGAGGAGTTGCTGAATGCCTCCGAGATGAAATTTCTCAATGAGATTAGCAACCTTGTTTACCGCGGCGTCAATATCAAGATGTACATTGATGGCCTTGACGCTCAACAGGTGAAGAGGCTGAGTGCCATCGTTGTACATGTTTACAGCAACATCCTCCTGCCTATTAAAGAATCAAGAAATTTCAGAGATGGTCCTTCGATCCAATTCTTCATCACTGGTTGTGACCCTTGTGTTATCGAGAACTTCTCTACCAAAGTTGTTGAGTTGGCTCAGCTTGACAAGAATGAGGTGAAGGCGATCGCATCGTTCTGGTTGAAGTTGCTTGTTCCGCAACCTTGTACCACGCAAGCTGAGTTTGCTAATCTGTTGGATGAAATTCTGCAAGCAACACAGAAGCTTGCAACACTCCCATCTCATCTTGTTTACCTAGCA